CCCAGGGCCCACAGCTGCTCCATGCATGACTGTACACATGAATAACAATTTCACAACTTCAAGATATCTCAAAGCGCTTTGGAATCAACAAAATGCAGTCACAAGACGACAAATCACAGCCACGATGCTCTATTTAACAAAGAGAGTTTGACCACATATCTGTTCAATCATGGAGACTAAAAACTGAAAGAACTGTGGATGCTGGAAATCAGAAACAAATAGAAATTGTTGGAAAAGCTCAGCAGGTTTAGCGATGAATCACTGAGGCTTTTTACTTCCATCTCAGTACCAACACCCAGTCTCAACTCCTCACCAGTGGCTTTATCCCTGACACAGCGCTCTCCCTCTGGTCTCCTACTGTGTACCCTCTGCAAACATGAGCTCATCCAAAACACAAATGGAATCTTGCAACTCACATCTGGGTCCCATTCACCCATCAACCCTATCCTCACTGGATCTTTGTCCAGCATTGCCTTGACTTAAATTCTCAGCTCCGCTTCCCACTCTCTCCGTGATTTCACCTCTCGCCTATCTCTAATCTCCTCCAGCCGGACAACGTTTCAAAGTGCTCCAACTCTGGCCTCATTTAAATTGTTGTAACACTGGCAGCTTGGACTTTTGTATGAATATTTTTACTTGAAAGATGCTCCTTAAACCTTTCTGTCCTAAAATATCCTTAATGTAGTTTGGAGTCAAAATTTGATTGATAATGGCCCTGTGAGGCCCCTTGAACTTGTTGTTAAAGGCATTATGTAAATACAAGGTGTAGAGGTGGATGAACACAGCAGGCCAAGCAGCATCAGAGGAGCAGGAAGATAGCCAAGTTTCGTACTCACGAGGACAGCCTCAACCGTGACCTTGGGTTCACGTCGCGCTACATGTAACCTCACCACACTGTTCTCAGTTTGTAAAATCTTCCTTACTGTCCTGTTTGGACATTATTACCTTGATTACTTGTGGGTTGTGCAGTTTTGGATTTTACTTGTTACTTCGGTTAGACCCTCGTCATGCGACTTTGATACCTGCTCATGTTATTCCAGCCATTTGATTTGTCTCTAACACCTTATTTTTAATTATTTGTAAATTATCTCTCTGCCTTAATTAATCAGGTCACAGGTCATCCCTCCACTTGTTATTCAGCTGTTGACATTTTACTCTCTCCATTTGACACTCGATCACCTGCAAAGACGACACTGTACTCATACTTTTTGTACTTATTGGTTGACACAATACCTGGAATTAACTTGCCATTATCTCTCCACCTATATATTCTGTGCCTGCGCACCTCCCTCCACTTCACCCAAAGGAACAGTACTCCGAAAGCTTGTAATTTTAAATAAACCTGTTGGACTTTGAGACCAAAAAAACTGCAGATGCTGGAATCCAAGGTAGACAAACAGGAGGCTGCAAGAATGCAGCAAGCCAGGCCGCATCTGGAGGAAAGGAGAAGTAAACATTTCAGGTATTACTCTTCTTCAGGACTGAAATATTGACTGCTCCTTTCCTCCAGATGCTGCCTGGCTTGCTGTGTTCTTGCAGCCTCCTGTTTGTCTATCTGTTGGACTTTAACCTGGTGGCATGTGACTTCTGACCTGCCCAGTAATACCTCATAATTGGGTGTTGATGTACTCCACACCTTTATTTCAAGAAGGGCTGTGAAAATATGCAATAAAATAGTTGAAGGACTAAGCTCTTCCATCCCCTGAGCCGGCTCTGTCATTCAATAAGATCTTGGCTGACTTGACTATGGTCTCAACTCCACATTCTCATTTACCCTGATAACCTTATATCTTGTTGACTAAGGAGAGAGTCTATCTCCATTAATTCTGCCTCGACAACTCTCTGGGGAAGAGACATCTACAGAAAATAATAATGAGATAAGAATTTCTCATCTCCATCTTAAATGGCAGACCATTTATTTATAAACTTGGCGCCCTTATTCTCATCTCTTCCACCATCATTTCAGCATCCGTCCTGTCAAATCGCCTCAGATTTTGTACGTTTTAAGATGATCCACCTTCCATCCCGATCTCCAATGGATACAGGTTTATCTTGTCCAACCCTTCCTCAGAAGGCAATCAACACAATGCTAAGTGACTAACCTGCTTCTTGTGCATTTACATCCTTTCTGAAGTTATACTGTGCCAATTCACCTATCTAGATTCCTTTGCAGGCATTGTCTGTTCGCTTCATAACTTCGTCTCCTGCCTCACTTCATCATTCGCTCTCCTTCATTAGTTTAAAGCCCTCTCTACTACTCTGTTTAAATGGCTCACCGAAACACTGGTCCCAGCACAGTCCAGGTGTAGACAGTAGAAATCATAGAAACTCTACAGTGTGGAAGCAGGCCATTTGGCCCAACAGGTCCACACTGCCCCTCCGAAGAGCATCCCACCCAGACTCATTCCCCTGCCCCTGCATTTCCCTTATCTAACCTAAACATCCCTGGGCACTATGGGTAATTTAGCACAGCCAATCCACCCACCCTGCACATCTTTGGACTGTGGGAGGAAACGTGCAAACTCCAAACAGACAATCGCCCAAGGCTGGGATTGAACCCAGGTCCCTGGCGCTGTGAGGCAGCAGTGCTAACCACTGAGCCACTGTGCCACCCCACAGCTCCAACTTTCCCCAGTACTGATACCAATGTCCCAAAAATCATGGGCTACAAATGCAGGCCTCACCAGTGACACACACATCCCATAAAAGATGAAGAAACAACAAAATTGTTAGTTGCCTTCTTATTATATGTGCACCATAGAAAGCATCTTAACTGAATGCATCACAATTCAGTATGGCAATGCTCTACCCAGGACTGTAAGAAACTACAGGAGCTGTGAACACAGCCCAGTCCATCATGCAAGCCAACTTTCCATCATTGACTCCATCTATACTTTCCTCTGCCTCAGGAAAGCAACCAATGTAATCAAAGACCCCTCCCAACCCAGTTATCATCTCTTCCACCCTCTGTCAGGCAGAAGATACAAAAGCTTGAACACATGTACGAATAGATTCATGTTACTGGATTTTTGAATGAACCCCTCAGATTTTAAATTTAACGTTGATCTCGTTCTAGGTCCACCTTCTCTGCAGCCCTGACATTGTATTCCTCGCTCTGTTCTATTACCCCAAGGCAGTTTGCAGCACGTGATCTGCACGCAAAGCAAAACTTTTCACCGTACCTAGGTACGTGACAATAACAAGTCAAATCAAAAATCCTCAACCACATCCAGACTTCCTACACCATCTCTGTCCTGTTAGATGCATACCTTCCATTAATTAAAAATTAACAAGCTCCTTAATCCATTTACCCAGCTTTTCAATATGAAAACATGTTGCATACACATTAGTAATTTTTCCCCTGGATTTTTTTTTGCTTCTTTTGGGTTTGGTTCTGCATTTGCCAAGAGGTCCTTAATACTCAGACTCATGATCAGATCACCGTCTTCGCCTGATGTGAAATGTGTGCAAAGGTTGGGGTGAAACTCTCAAATCATCACTTCAATCTGGACATGAAATGTGTTTAACTTCACTCCATTCTACAAAGATCATGATAATTACAGGTGTGATTGACCATTCAGCCCATCTTCATGCAAACTTCCAAATCAAACATACATTAAATTGTACAACTAACTTTATCTATATGTCTAACTTGTGTCATGTTGGAAGAACCAGGGATAAGGAGCTGCCTGGTCATGATTTACCATTAAAACTGATTTTGTACACATGTACAATGCATTTGTCATTATGATGACACATGAATGGAGCAGCCTTTTTTAAAAAACCTTACGGAAAATTAAAGGCTGGATGGCAACCTCAAAGCTGAGAACAGGATCAGGAAAGAAAACAACACTGGGATGAGGGGAGGAGGAGGAGGAAGGGGGTAAAACACATCCTGCTGAAGTTAGAATTAATCCGTTTCAGAACCAGAGACTTGAATTGCTATCGGACCCATCATTAATTCCTAAAGCACTCTGCAGCAAAATAAGTAATTGAAATGCAGTCAGTCAGTCACAGATGTAATGTATGAAACTGTCTATATATAGACACAGCAACCAATTTGTTCACAGCAAACTCACAACAGCAATGAGATAATATACTTTTTGTAAGGTTGATGGAGGGAACAATATTAGGCAGAAAACTAGGGCTATCTCCCATCAAAAAAAAATAAAAACACCACGTGAAGTCTTTTACAGCCAAACCTGCTTAAATGTATCATTTAAAAGAATGGCACCACCGATAATGCAGCACTCCCTCAGCACTGCATTGGGATGGTCGGACTCTATTTTCTGCTGAAATGTCTGGAGTGGAACTTGGATCCGCAACCTGAGATTGTGCACACGCTGACACCTCAAAGACACCGCTTGTCTAAAGCACAATGTGGATTTTCAGCAATCAGTTGCTGGATTACAACTGGGGAAACAACTAGAAATTATAAAGATGCTGCACAGGAGGCAAAGTATGCAGTCTGCCAGAAAGAAACAACTGCAGTCAGTCAACAAGCATTGTCTTTATCCCCACAAACAGGTCTGTTTGATTCATGTTAAAAAAACAGACAGAAGCAGTGCTCCAAACAGGAGGAGACTTCAAACAGCTGCTTTTGACAGCCCTTGAAGACCAGCCAAATTTGTCTTCTTTTGTTGCTGTATGTTTGCAAAGTGTTGCTCTTGGCATTGTAGGTATTGATTTTAGATTTATCCATCAAGGTCAATTGTTGAAGACATAACGAAACTTAAACAAGACACACCCTAAAAAGTTCTTCAGGATAACTAGACCAAAGGCCACAAAGTATATCAAGCAGTAAAAGTTGAAAAAAAAAGCTATCCATCAAATTTGGCTTATAAAACATTTCTTTGAGCAAACAGGCTGCAATATTCCACTAAATGGAGGAAGAAACAATGTTTTTGCCCAGGATTTTAGAAGCATCATGAGAGAGGGTCAGAGAGAGACACAGAATCCACACACAAAAGCCTCTACACAGGGAATAAATACAGCTTAAATTTATTACAAGGTGAATCAGTGGATTTTATTTTTACTGTGTTTAAACACAGTGCAAAACAAAAGTAATTATTAGCAACAGGATATTTACAGATAAAGAATCAGAAATTACAGTGTAGATCATCTATTCCATTATGTCTGTGCTGGTGCATGAGAGATGATGGCACATCACTACCATTGAAAGCAGTGTTCTTGAATTGCAAGATTACATTGGTCAGAATGTGCTCAGATCTTAAAATCTATCCCAACTGTCCCCAGAGGCCAAAGGGAAAAGAAATGGCCTCACGGGTGTCCCAGGAGGTTAAAGTAATGTAGTGGTGCATTTTCCAAGTCTTTCAAAAACAGTAAATCTGGAAGAAACAAAGATGCAAAATTGGACAACTTTTTTTTCTATCCAAGCCCCCAGACACTCGTCCTTTCATTGTTGTGGCAGCCTCTCACTAGGGCTCGGCCCTTGGGCAACCTCATCCAAAGCAGTTGCTTCACATTCGAGAATTTAAGCTAGCAATGGTTCACAACACTGAAGCATCAACAAGCCGTGGAAAATTCAGTCCAAAGAAATACACTTCACTGGCACTCAATCTGTTCTTCACCAACTTTCGAGTTTCTTACTTGCAGAATGGAGCAGAGAAACTTGGAATCATACAATCCCTAGTGCGGAAGCAGGCCATTCAGTCCATACCCACCCTGCAAACAGCATCCCATCCACACCCACCCCACTACTGTATCCCTGTAACGTTGCACTTACCATGGCTAATTCACCTGGTCTCCACATCCCTGGGCACTATGGGGCAATTTAGCATGGCCAATTTAGACACCCAAATGCCCTAACCTGCGCATCTTCGGACTGTGGGAGGAAACCCACGCAGACACAGGGAGAACGTGCAAACTCCACACAGACAGACGGTTGCCTGAGGGTGGCATTGAACCCGGGTCCCGAGCAGCAGCAATGCTAACCACTGAGCCACTGTGCCACCCCAAGCTTGCCAAGGCTTTGTTAACTTAACTAGGGAGGCGATGGGACTAGTGTCGTTGTAGCTAGACTAGAAATTCAGAGATAAGAACAAACAAAAAAGGAGAAACTCAGCAGGTCTGGCAGCATCTGTGGAGAGAAACAGAAAGTTAAACATAGATTTCAGTGACCCTTCATCAGAAGGAGGGGGACCTACTGAGTTTCTCCAGCAGTTTTGTTTTTGTTTCAGATCTCCAGCATCCACAGGCTTTTGTTTTATTTTTAGTAATCCAGAAACCCAGTTAGTGTCCTGGGAACAAATCCAATAAATGCAATTTATATTTTAAAAATCTGGAATTAAAAGTCTGCAGCTTGGAAAATATAGTGGAGGCAAGTTCAATTGAAGAGGGCATTGGATGGGTTTTTCAGATAGAAGAAAAAGTGGTTTGTAGGGATATAGGGAGGAAAGGCAGGAGATAAGCACTATGTAATAAAGCCAGATCAGATTGTTGAGCTAGCACAGGTGCAATGGGCTGATTAGCCTCCTTCCGTGCCATAAGTATTCGGTGATGACCATGAAGCTATTATCGATGGTTGTAAAGATCCATCTGGTTGCCTAATGTCCTGGAGGGAAAGGAAGCCGTTGTCCTTACCTGGTCAGGCCTATATGCAACTGTAGACCCACAATGGATGTGGTTAACTCTTTACTGCTCTCTGAAAGGACTCTAGCCAAGCATTCAGTTATATCCAAAAGGCAATATGGGATAGGTAATAAATACTGACCCTGGCCAGAGACACCCAAATCCCACTAATGAATGGAGAAAAACTAGAACCAGTGACCTCTCCCAGCTGGAAGCACAATGGTACGATGGCAACATGAATCTCCAAGGTAATGGATCAGCCCCAAAACAGTGGTTAGCACTGCTGCCTCACAGCATCAGAGACCCAGGTTCGATTCCACCCTCGGGTGACTGTGTGGAGTTTGCACATTCTCCCTGTGTCTGCATGGGTTTCCTCTGGTTTCCTCCCACAGTCCATAGATGTGCAGGTTAGGTGAATTGGCCATGCTAAATTGCCCATAGTGCCCAGGGATGTGCAGGCTAGGTGGATTGGTCATAGGAAATGCTCTTGGGAGGGTCAGTGTGGACTCAATGGGCCAAATGGCCTGCTCCCACACATGTAAGGATTCTATGAATCCTGACTGAGAAACATGATCACCATTCTTTTTCTATCACATCAACTCCCCCGCTCCGTGTTTTGGGAATATACTTCAGACTGCTGTAGATCACCTTGGCTCGACAAAGCCAACTACGGATGGTTTGTAAAAATGTTGCCCTTTCCTGTGTCCAGAAACACTGACCCTCACCTGGCAGCCTGGGACTTGCTGCCAAGTCACATTATTTCACATCTGTGTTTCTTCATCAGCCAAAGGGTCCATTTTCGCTTTGAATCAGTGGCTGGTGCATAACGGATACTATTCGCCTTCTCCATACCCAGCGATTTCAACACACAAGCTCGGCGGTGGCTGAAGGTTTCAAAGCTGAATTTACCGTGGTAAGCCCCGATGCCACTTTTCCCTGGCAGCAGAGAGATCAAAAACACAAAAAAAAGACTGTGGTTAAAGCACTGCCATTATCCCTCACAATGTCCCACATCTCAGTTCCCATGTATTTAAGCTGCAACTTTACCCCTTTAAAAGGCAACCAGGAAAAGATAAATTGTGAAGTAAACAGGGCTCTTTTTTTGGGGGGGCATGAAAATAGGGTTGGCGAGAAGGAAGTGAGTTCAGGTTGGGAGTTAGCTTTTCCTAAGTTTTTAGGCTTCAGATCTGCCCAGGAATTGGAAAGATCCCTGGACTCTTCCAGCACACACCTGACTGCATCATACATGATGGCAGCTCTGCAGGTCAGCGCATGGGCTGAATGGTCATAATTATTTTGGGAAGAGTAATTTGGCACGCAACAACTCATGATCCCAGCTAAAAGACACCAGAGTCCCGTTCTGCAAAATCCCCCGAACGAGGAAATACCAAACCCTGACTGCCGGGAGCAATGATGTAACCACCATCACTGCCATCATACCTTGTACTTCAGAGATTTTTCAATGGAATTGGAGATCAGTGCACAACACTTCATATGGCGTATACACAGGAATATAGAAAAACTGGAGGAACCAAACCTGCTTGCACAAGAGGCATACTCTGTGCTTTTTCCTAGAATCACATCAGATACAATTACATCCATTCAAGGGGCAATCAAAAAAGGGAGAAAGAATAGAAGACTACTGTTGTCATGTAGGAGAGCCAATATGTGCACAGCAAGCTCCCACAAATAGCATTGGCGAGAATTACCAGAGACAGTAATCTATGATATCATTCAAGGGCCATGATTTCTTGAGCAATTCTTGGGATGAGATGGTTGTTTTATGAAGAAAGGTTGAATAGATTCAATACGGATTCACGCTGGGGAGACCATGGGAAGGCAATGGCATGCCGGTAACATTAAACCTAGTGTTCTGGTCCGGTAATGTTCCAGGCATGTGAGTTCAAGTCCCACGGTGGCAGATGGTACAATTCGAGTTCAATAAATATTGGGGGTGGGGAAAGAGAAAAGAGCTGGTCAGATGGTAATAAAGGTTGATAGTTTCTAAAAGAGAAGGAAACTGTCATCTTTACCCAGCCTGGCCCACATCAACGTGGTTGACTGAGTAATAAATGCTGGCCCTGAAATGACATTCGCATCTCACGAATGAATTTAAAAAAAAAAAAACAATCTTGAGGTAGTCCACATGACAGGGTGGATGCTGAAAGAACGGCTCCCCCACGTGGGAGAGGCTAGTGCTTGTGGACAACATTTAAAAATAAGAGGTCCCCTGTTTAAAAGAGTAGAGAGGAAGAGAATTTTGCGAATAAAAAGGTCTTGAATCTGTGGAATTCTCCTCCCCAGAAAGTGTGGCCATTCAATATTTGGAGACAGAATTGAACAAATTCTAAATTGAAAGGGAATAAGAGGGTATGGCATAAATCAGAAAAGTGGAGTTCAGGCCATAAATCAGATCAGCCTATGATCTGACTGAATGGTGGTTTAGGCTAGAGGGGCCAAATGGCCCATTCTGAATTCATAACAGCAGGGAGACTATCCCTGGTATCTTTGAGAAAATGTACCCCAAAGAACGAACAAGATGGTTCTTCAACCTCCTTACCCTGGATATTACCACCAACATGAGGTTCCTACAACAGTAGAACCAGGGATCGCTTTTATCCAAGATCCCTCTCCTTTCCTCCCAATCATTTCTATTCAGTTCCACCCATCCAGCATTGACAAGAACCAAAATAAACGTTTCTGACTCACCCACACCCCCAAATGGGAGGGTGTCAACAGAGTAATGGATCAGGCAGTCATTGGCAGTTACACCACCACTGGATGTCTCTGCGATAATCCTCTGGATCAACTGCAGAGACAGAAGAGAGTGAGAGAGAGAGACACAGATAGACAGACAATGTGCAGTTCTAACTTAGTTCAATTCAGTTACTCCAGTCTCTAGGGCTGGAGGTTGCCAGGTGGGTGGTAACTCATCTCCTGACTCCCCAAGCTTGTCCACCATCTACAAGGTTCCAGTTAGCAGTGTGATGGAATACTCCAATTACCTGGAGGAGTGAAGCACCACTATTCACGAAGCCTGGTGCCATCCAGGCCAAAGCAGCCCGCATGATCCACATCCCATCCATCATGTTACCATGCATTCCTTTCACTGACACAGTGACAGCACTGTGTACCAACTACAAGAACTGCAGCAACTCTAAGGCTTCTTGGACAGTGCCAGTCAAACCTTCAACTTCTACCATCTAGAATGATAATGGGCAGCAGATACATGGAAACACCACCATCTGCAAGCTCCCCAAACCACACCTCATCTTGGTTTGCATATATAACCATGGTCCCTTCCTGGATCTCTCCATCATGCGTGTTTCAATCACAGCTGATGGCAATAATGAACAGGTCAGATCCCAGAGGGAGATCTGGCTTGATAGGCTATAAAAAAGGTTTTATTTTTCTCCTTGCTTACTGCAGAGGTCAAATCATTGACCAACGAGGCTATCAAACTTACTGCTAAACAAAAAGAACAAAGTTTAGTACTCAAAGAAAAACAAACAAAATTACATTACACTCAAGGTGATTTGAAATGGTCTCATTACAGATGTCAGGAACAAAGATTCAACCCTTTAATCCGAATGACCTTACAGATATCCAAAACTCATTGAAAAGTCTCCACTGAAGTTTTGTTCAGCTGTGATCAGTTTTTTTTCCCTGACAGATTTCTGTATTCATTCAATACTATTTTCTTCAGTTATCTTCTAGATACTAGAAAGGAAAATTGCTAACTCAGGTCACCGATTACTTAAAATGGGTTTCGTTATATCATGTCTTCATCAGCCTTGTAGGATGTCTTCCTCTTTGCTTCCAAGCAATTTGGGACTTCTCCCCTTCTACCCTGACTAATCTGGAGACTGCTAAACCTACAATACTTCTGCTGCTATTGGTAGAGTGTCTGGGCCTCTCTAGCTGCCTTGTAAAATGTAAGTCAGTAAATAGTTCCCCAGGTGGCTTACAGTCCAGTTATCTACAAGTCACGGGATTTCTTCAAATTTTCTTTTAAACTCACCTGTACAAGATGACCTTCTGACAGAACTAAAAGCTGAAAAAAAACTTCTTCCTCCACTTTAAAACCCATGTTCCCAAATAACCATGAACCTTCATCACAATGTACTACCGCGGTTAAAAAAACAACTCACGACCGTCTTCTTGGGGCAATTATGGCCAGTAATTAAATGCTAGCCTATCCAGTGATACTCATATTCAAAAGATTAAATTTAAAATATTGAACAAGTCCAAAATGTAACATTACTACTGTGAAGCATGGATAAAAATCTACCTGTTTAGATCATCATGTACAAGTCTAGAGGCAGATAAAAATTTAAGGCTGTGCCACAGAAAGCAATATTATGATAGGGAACCAGAAGTAATGTGATGGACACAGGTTTTAACAGCAAGAGGGGTAATTTCAGAGCAGAGAATGAAGACGACTGAAGGCAGGGCTGTTAACTGGCTAGGTTACATCACAACCAGCAATCATGTTGTCCATTTGGTGGAATACAGTCAAAGATTCATAAGTAATCCATCTTCCTCAGTCTTCACCGAGTGAGAGAGGAGAGAGGGAGAAAGCGAGAGCAACTGAGTTGTAGGATCAGGCTCTCTCTCAATAAGTGGTCTGATTGAGGTCAGTCATTCGTCAGATCAATTAGTGTCCAGCTTTCCCACCAAAAGAGGTTAATTCAAAGAGATTGTTTAAGTAAATACAACACCGCACTGCAGTTAGACGTTAAAGTCTGGGAGACCAACACATACAACACAAACCCGAAGCAGCAAGCCACAGAGGCAACAATCCTTACCTTTTTGTTGTGAGAGAAGACGTAGAGAGCCAAGGGCTTGTCCCTCTTATTGATGAAGTCAATGGCCTCTTCCGCGCAGTTGACCGTGACGATGGGTAGCAATGGGCCGAAGATCTCCTCCTGCATAATCCTGGAGCTGGGATCCACATCAGTCACAATTGTGGGAGCTGCCCAAACATCAACAAGAGGCTTTTTCTCAGTAACGGAGAGGACCATAGCTCAATGAAGTCTTGACCCCCCCCTCCCCCCCCCCCGTGCCCTGGTTACTGCCCACTCCTCCTGGTTTCAAACCAAGTGGTTCACAGATCTCCCTCGTGTCTCTACAGGTGGGGTTTCCCTCCACTCAGGACTTCTTGTCAGGATATCAGGAGTGGGATCTTAGGAAATCGTTCTATACCACAATCCATCCACAGACCCTATTTCCAAATTCTTTGGCACCACGTTCATGCTGAAGCCACCAATACAGGATGGACCAAATGGTCCCCCTTTCTGTGCCAAATATGACTATGTTGGCTGTAAATAAACTTTGGGAGGATGGGCAATTGTAATTGTGACAAGAAGTGACTTTTATTATTCAAAAGGGGCTACATGGGTTGTCTGTTCCATAAGAGAGAATGTGACTCATATTGCTTCATGCTGGCATTAACATACAGGTCACAGTGCTAAGGGGTTAATGATCACACTCCCCCTCTGTCTGCCTCTACAAGTACCTATGTAGAGCTCCTTTTCATCGCGCTGACCACCAAACACCACGTTCTCTCCCTCCAGCAAAGACATCAGTCTCTTAAAATGCCGCTGGTTTACAATACGTCCGTAGTCCGGGGATTTCTGGGGATCGGCTCCATAGAATTCCTGGAACAGACCAAGCAGGGATAGTCAGATAGGGAACACACTCCAATAACCATCCAGACTCCACAACATTAGGAGGTAACATCAAGTTGAGTGGACCAATAGTAAAAGAATTAGAAGAGAGGGGTCAGGAAGTGTGGACATCAGTTAAATTGTTTGGCCAAAACAAATCCATTTTCAAAGTGACATTAATGGTGGGTTGGGGGGTGGGGGGGGCCACAATGTTTTCGATAAAAGCTGCTCAGTTTCTTTTAGCGATTTCAGAATTGGAATTTTACAGTAAAATGCTAGAAGTTAAATTTAATAAACTGGTAGCAGAAAAAAAGATAACCACAAGGCTGTTTTGATTGCATAAAAACCCAACATTTTCCTTTATTCACTTGTGGGACATGGGCGGTGCTGACTGGCCAGCATTTATTACCCGTCCCTAGTTGCCCTGGTTCACTAATGCCCTCCATGTGAGTGGGGAACAGGCCATCGTCACCCAGTGTGGGTCTACACAGGACTCCAGACACACACCGATGAAGCGGAGTTTAAACTGCCCCTGAACAAGCGGTGCCCATTGTGAGAAAGCTGTTACCAATGGTTCAAGAGGGAAATACAACTTCAATTTCTCAAAAGGCATCTTGGGATTGCCAATAAATGCCACCAGTTCCAGTCATGCCCACAACTGGGGACTGAATTTTAAACAAAAACTAAAAGCTGCATCGATCCCACATCTCCACTGCTCCGTTCAAAGAATCTCATTTCCATTCAGATTCCTCGAGTTATAGGACTGGGTGTGTAACTGCTGCTCATCTCCATGGCGACAACACCAGATGTACGCGATACAGGAACACCCCAGAGTGGGAGTAGGCCTTTCGGCCCTTCGAGTCTGCTCCGCCATTCAGTAAAATCATGGCCCATCTGATCGTTGTCTCAACAGCACTTTTCTGCCTGCTCCCCACAACCTTCAACAAATTGATAGACATTTCCAAACTTGGGGCTCTCTTCATTCAGACAGAGATTATGGATCAAATCTGACGGGGGTCGAAGGTCAAGAAAGAGGGAACATTAGAATCAAGTTAAATGTAACCACGAATGAGAGAGAGCCGGAGAAAATGATTATTTGACACAGGTGGCTCTGAGACCATATACAAACCAGTGGAGTTAGTGACAGTCAGAAACTTCAACAATTAGGAGGAGATTCAACAAGTGATTGTGTGGAAACAGAGGGATAAAAGGAGAAGAGGTAAGACACGTGGGATAAGAATTCCCATGGAGGATAAACCCAACACTGACCTGCTGAACCTACTGGTGCTGTAATTGTGAGATACAGTACATCAAGAACTGGCTGAACACCACAGCTGCTGCAGCATGAAGCCAGCGCAGAGATTAACCTCTCGACCACAGGACTGGCACAGCTCATGGGCTTCAGCGATTGGGGAGAATCACAGCAAAGGCAACTCGCTTCAGAGGATAATCCCACCCACCCCAGAACTGGGCTTTCCTCTTTCAGGGGCTGTCTCTCCCACTGCTGCTCCCACCATTTCTCTCCTTATGGAGAGAATGACAGTTCCTGCTTTCTAAACTCACAGAGACAGCAGAGCCAATCTTCTTCACCACTTCATCCTGGATACTGTTATTACACAGGATGTAATCTGGAGCGATGCAGGTCTGACCACTGTTTGTGTACCGTCCCCATGCAATACGTCTGCAAAGAATAAATAAGAAACTTGTTCAAGGTTTAGGTTTGCAAAATTCAATTTTCACAATTTGCTCCTCCACACAGCAGAACTTTACAGCAAATTGCCTAATCCTATTAATCTCACTCTCCCCATGTCCCACTATGGAAACCATGCTGGAGTGTGAGGTGGTCCAGAATAGAACCTGGAGAGTTGCTATATGTTTGGATAGAGTGGAACTCCATCTACACTTGTTGTCAATGTGCCGCAAACCCACACTCGGATCCCAGCCCGCTGCAGCAATGCGACACTGCCGACCCTCAAACCAACCTGCAGGCCACATCCAGGTCACAGTCACCATCAACGTAACATGGACTTTTCCCGCCAAGCTCCAGGGTCACAGGGGTCAGATGTTTGGCTGCAGCCTCCATAACGATCCTGCCAACGTTGGTACTGCCCGTGTACAGGATGTGATCAAACTGCTGTTTCAACACCTCCGTTGTCTCTTCAACCCCTCCGTTAACGACAGGGTAAAGATCCTGGGCAAAAAGGAAGGTGATTGGAAAGGGCAAGAAAAATAACTATTTATCCTGCCTCAAAAAGATCAAATGATTATACAAACAATTTCTCAAAAAAGAGCTTTTGTAGGAACTGGAGTAGGCCATTCAGCCCCTCAATTTTATTCCATCAGTCAGTCACAGCATGTTTGATCTGTATGTCAATGCCAAATGTACAGGACAGACATTAAGTAGCTACACATGCACAAACAACAACAAAAACATAGGTTGCTGGAAAAGCACAGCAGGTCTGGCAGTATGTGAAGAAAAAAAAAAGGAGAATTTCAGGGGAAGGGTCACTGGACCCAAAACGTTAACTCCTGATTTTTTTCTTCACAGATACTGCCAGACCGGATGAGCTTTTCCAGCAACTTCTGTTTTTTTGTTCCTGATTTACAGCATCACAGTTCTTTCAGTTTTTTGGCTATACATTCGCACCCACCTTTTCTGTAAAGCACAAAAACTTAAGTTTAACAGAAACAAAATGGAAAATCTAGGAACATCCCCTGCAGTAAACCGGTTACTGGTCTATTAACACAGATAGCACGAACTCAAAGCCCAAGTCTGAACAAAGCACAAAGAATAGTACAGCACAGGAACAGGCCCTTTGGCCCAACAAGCCTGCGCCAACTCATAACTTCCTAAAATAAAAACCTTTTGCCTGTATGCTGTCCATGTCCCTCTATTCCCTGCCTATTCAGACAATGTTAAAGTGGCATCTTGACAGATCTCTCCTCTGGCAGTGAATTCCAGTCACTTGCCATCCTTATTTTTTTCAATAAAATTGCCTCTCATCTCCTTTGAAATTTTCCCCCTTTTACCTTCAACCCGTGCCCCCTAGTAATTGACATTCCTACCCTGGGAAAAAGACTCACTATCCATGTCTCTCAACTTTGTAAACCTCTATCTGGTTGCCCCTACAGCCTCTGAAATCCAAGCGAAAATATAAGTGGTTTGGCAGTGGTAGGACGTTTCTGGGGTCTGTTTGTAGGAAAAATAAAAATGTGGAAATAAAAGGGAGGCATCTGGAATAAAAAGCAACCTTAAAAAGATGTAAATCATGTCAGCTTATTGGTGCGACTATGAGATTCCAGTCACAGATCAGATTGGTCAATTCCGAAGAAGGGTCCCGATCTGAAATGTCAACTTTCTTGCTCCTCTGATTCTGCCTGGCCCTGCTGTGTTCCACAGTGCTCCACACTTATCTCTGACTCCAGCATTGTCAGTTCTTACTATCTCTCAGCTTGGTCAATGCTGTCTGAAGTAGGCCAGTTGTATTAAGTTGCTACTAAACCAGTTCAAAGATTATGTGCATTTAGACAGCACCTTTCACATTCAGAGGGTGCCCCAAAGCACTTTACAGTTAATTAAGAGTTGTTAAAAAAGGCAGCTGCCAATTTGCCTCCAGCAAGCTTCCACAAACAGCAATGTTACAATGATCAAGCAACCTGCTTCTACTGGATGTTAGTCAGAGGCAAAAAGTTTGACCAAGACACTATGGAACACTTACTGGCTCTTGTTTGATGAGCCACAAGATCTTTTTCAATACTGCAGTGAGTAACTCACCTCCTGACTCCCCAAAGTCTGTCCACCATCTACAAGGCACAAGTCAGGAGTGTGATGGAATACTCCCCACTTGCCTGGATGGGTGTAGCCCCAACAACACTCAAAAAGCTCGACATCATCCAAGACAAAGCAGCCCACTTGATTGGCACCACATCCACAAGCATCCACTCCCTCCACCACCAAAGGCCATTGCACACTGCTGCTACTATCTACAAGATGCACTGCAGAAATTCAAGGATCCTCAGACAGCACCTTCTAAAACCCACAACTACTTTTCCATCTAGAAGGAGAAGGGCAGCCGATGCATGAGAACACCACCCCCTTAACGTGCCCCTCTGAGCCAGTTACCATCCTGACTTGGAAAAATAATCACTATTCCTTCACTGTCGCTGGGTCAAAACCCTACTGGCCCTTACAATGAGTTTAATGGAATCACAGTTGCATTCACCTTTAATAGCAGCAAGTGCAGGGGAGATGTTAAATTCAAAAGACTGGCGACATTGGTGGAAACACAAGGTAAATTGATGAGATCGCATAACGCCAGTGCTGAGTAGTCCACACCCACCTTGTCCAAGTATTGAGGGAGGAGCTCCCCCAGTAACTGGGCTGTATTCTCACTCACTTCCGATGGCTTTAGGACTGCTGCGTTTCCTGGGAAACAGGATTGTAACACAAGAACAATCACTGGCAACTGGATAATAGTCCACAGTAACAAGTGCAGAAACAGAACATTCAACCTAACCTATCAGGGCCAGTGTTTAGGTTCCATACTGACGTCCATCCACCCAGCCTTCAAAAATCCATCAACATTTCCTTCTATTAGTTTTCCCATTGTGCACTTGGGTAAATGCCTGTTAAATGTGACTGTGGCATACAAAACAAACCAGCATAGGCTCAAAATTTGGAGTCTCCAGACTATCATCAGAATAGTTGTGGAGGAGTAAAGGCCATTCAACCCATTACAGTTCATGATACAAGCATCCAAACCCTCCCAAAGTAACATTGCAAGTTACCTCAATGTCTCTGTGCACAATTCTGGGGGATTACTAATTCATGTTCATAGCTGGGTTACTGAGGTCATTGCCATAGAGACATACAGCATGGAAACAGACCCTTCTGTCCAACTCGTCCATGCTGACCAGATATCCTAAATAAATCTAGTCCCATTTGCCAGCATTTGGCTCATATCCCTCTAAACCCTTCCTATTCATATACCCAGCCAGATGCCTTTTAGATGTTGTAATTGTACCAACCGCCACCACTTCCTCTGGCAGCTCGTTCCATACACACACCACCCTCTGCATGAAAAAGTTGCCCCTTATGTCCCTTTTAAATCTTTCCCCTCATCTTAAAACCTACGCCTTCTAGTTTTGGACTCCCCTACCCTGGGCAAAAAGACCTGACTATTCACCCTATCCATGCACCTCTTGATTTTATAAACCTCTACGGTCACCCCTCAGCCTCCGACACTGCAGGGAAAATAGCCCCAGTCCATTCAGCTTCTCCCTCTTGAAGAAACCCTCCAATCCCAGCAACATCCTTCAAAGTGTTCAGAAAAGATTTGCAAGTTTGAGAACATCTTTTGTTGGATGAGGATGACTCCATATTCAACCACACTTGTGTCAATCCCCCAGTTGGAGATTTAGTGAATCCAGATGTTGGCCTGGAGTGTGCAGTGAAGGAAAAAAAGCCAACCTTTCCGCTCCCAGTCACTATCCAGAGTCATGCTGACTGTAAATGCACGGATTTTCTTGTGTGCGGGGAGAAGGGTGGCTGTGGAAGGCAGAACCCCATTCAGTTTTAACGCTACCCACAAATCAAGCAAAAACTTGACTAGGACACATAAGACAGCAACTGGGAAAACTCAAAGGAAGAAGTAAGCCTTTGAAAAAGAAAATTCCATGTTACAGATTCTCAATTGTGATCTTTCTGGCAGAGATTGGGAGATAATTAATGAAGAGTTTACCTGCTGCAATTGCCCCAATTAGAGGCTGGACAATAAGAGCCAAAGGATAGTTCCAGGCCCCTATGATAAGAACCACCCCAAGAGGCTCTCGATGGATATAAACATCATCCATTAATGTCATCATACTCTTCGACACGTACTTTGGAGCAGTCCACTCCGGTAGGTTGGTGATGGCCAGAGAAATCTCATTCAGAATGCCGGCAATTTCAAAGATCTCCACATCAAATACACTCTGAAAATTCCAAAATTAAAAAGAGAGAGAGAAACAATTTTTTAAAAAGTGTCTTTTGCCTTCATCCTCCGTCCCTGTTCAAGGCATTGCGACTTCTGTTGTGGCATTCATGATTACCTTCTCAAAACTAAAATGAGAGAGTCTGACCGCCCTGGAGAGATATTCACTAGTACATACAGCATTGCAGGCCAGCGCAGTGTAGTCAGCAACAGGATTCATAGAATCACAGAACCCCTGCAGTGTGGAAGCAGGCCATTTTGCCCATTTAAGTCCACACTGACAATCTGAAGGGCATTCCACCCAGACACACCCCCTACCCTATCCCTGTAATCCTGTATTTCCCATGGTTAATTCACCCAGCCTGCACATCTCTGGACACAGTGGGCAATTTAGCACGGCCAATCCACCTAAGCTGCACATTCTTGGACTGTGGGAGGAAATCGGAGCCCCTGGAGGAAATCCACACAGACATGGTAAAAGAATGTCTATGTGGAGTTTGCACAGTCGCCCAAGGCTGGAATTGAACCCGGGTCCCTGGCGCTGTGAGGCAGCAGTGTTAACCACTGAGCCACCGTGCTGCCTTTGATTGCCCAGAGGAACAGCCAAATTGCCAGCAAACCATGGAGTTACTGGGACAAGGACATATCAGGTGGTGTGGTTGAGCACAGCTACAGAAGTACAGTGATAAATGCAGAGGTTACATTTTACATGGTGGGCTATTTCAAATCTCAGTTTTTCCCCCTATAGGTTTGGGGAAGTGGATGTGAGGAACTGGGGGATGGTCTAATAATTGAAGACGGTTATCTCTTTGTAAGGAACTACAATGGGTTTGGGTGAAGGATGCAGAGAGAAGAGTGACAAATCAGTCATATCTTCAGTTTTGTCCCATGCTTGCACTGAGTTAGCTAAACACAGCCAGGGTGAAACGTCAGGAAGAAATAATTGCCCTGTGAACGAGTGGGAGGCTGAAGAGGTCTGCTCTGGTTTCTAGCCTCGATTACTAGATGAAAGCTGATCCTTCTTCCCCGACCCTGCCCACAACATCCAACCTCGTGGGTCAAACAAGCTGGCAGGCTATTGTCTAAGTTCATGGGTAGAATGGCTACTTAAATGTGAAACTGAAAACTGGCCAGTCCCTGGGGAACTCTACTGTAACACCTTTCCAGTTGGCTAATTGAAAATGACTTTGTGAGTGTGGTGGGAGTTGGGAGTTTGTGATGAATTAAGAGCTGAATTTTGAAAAGCAATTGTTAGAGAGTGAGTGTTTAAGTTCTGCGTAATTCTTTTTCATAAATACTAGTGGCTGGATTTACTGTCCTGGAATGAGAGCTTAAATACCACGTTAAATGCTACTGAGACAGAGAGCAAGTTTGTTCTTCAGTCTTTACCACACCAGCTGATCTTCATTACATTGATGTAAGCATGCAAAGTAGGAGGCGGCTGTTCGGTCCCTCAAACCTGCTGATATTTCATAAAATCATGGCAGATCTGACTACCCTACATCATTGTCCATCCCCAATGACCTTTTACCCCCTCACAAATCTATCTACCACTTCCTTAAAATTACAATAGCACTGATCAAAACGTCATCCAAAGACAATGTTGAATGAATGACTGACAGGCACAACCATTCTCCCTTCCCCACATCAATCTCAATTACAGCAGACAGACTGGATTCACCGTCAAATGAATTATCAGGTGAGTGAGGGTGTCTCCTCTAATTATCATGAGAGATGTGGGAACCACTAAATCTCTCCTGCTTCATTGGGGTAACCATCCAATAAATCAGTCTGAAGATGGGCAAACCAATAATTAAAGTATTTACACTGGAAGACTGAGATAGCAATCAGCCTGTAGACTGCTACACTTTCTCCCTTCACTCCACCCCAAGGAAAATAAACAAGTTAAAATAAAAAGGAGGATACTAAATTAACAGTTCAAAATTTAGGATTTTTTTGAAAGCATGAATATGGTATTTCAGGCAGGAAAAGTGAAAGGCTGTGTGGAATCTAGTTAAGATGTTGAATTATTTTTAAAAAATTTATTCATGAGATTTGGACATCACCGGCCAGCCCATTTATTGCCGTCCCCAAAGGTCAACCACACTTTTGGGTATGGAGTCACATGTTGGTCAGACCAGAGGAGGATCAGCAGATTTCCTTCCCTAAAGCACATTCACAAAGGCTTTCCCCTCCCCCCTCAACCCCTCAGTCAACAGCAGGTACTTGGTCAAACGTAGGCTAGCTTTCTGGTCCTGATTTTTATTGAATTCAAGTTTCACCACCTTATTAGCTTGGAGTTCTGGATTTCCAGTCCAGTAAGAATACCACTGCGTCCCCCCCAAGCATGTCAAGAGCATTGTTTCACACCTTGTGCAAGTCTTTTTTGAGTGCCACTGAGAATTCCTCTTTTTTCTCATCGATCATTCTCTCCAGCGCCTTCAATTGCTGGATGCGAAATTCCAGAGGCCGGGATTTTCCCTGATTGTAGGCAGCTCTCGCAGTAGCTACAACAAGCTGGATCCCTTCCATGATGGGTGAACCTGCTAAGGGACACAAAAATCAATGGTAAATTGCCTCAGGCATAGAAAAGCACCCAAGGTGCAAATAAAATGTAGAGAACCTATTGTGTAGGTGAATGGTCAATCCTATTAGATGAATGTTTAGTTTGGTTGGTGCTTCAAGAAGTGGCCATTCCATACATGGGATGAAGTAGGTATTGCTGGGCATTTTCAATTAGCTGAGCGCCAAATGTGAGCATGGTCCAAGAGTCTCCGAAACAGGAAATGCATCATAGATCAGTCAGCATCCAGCAAGGCCAACAACAGCTTAACATTCCAGCTCTAACCCTTCATCATAACCAGACAGATCCATTGGCGATGTTCAAAATCATCATGGTTTTGAACACAGTCAAAGGAGAGGGAACTGTTCCCACTGACAAAGGGATCAAGGACAAGAGGGCACAGATCTAAAGTAATTGGCAAATGCAGCCAGTTGATAAACATTTTTTAACATGGCAAATGGTAAAGGTCTGGTTCGATGTTATTTAAAAAGAATGTGCAGGGTTACAAAGAGAAGGTAAGGGTATTGGCACAGGTAAATTGCTGGTTTTGGAGAGCCAGCACAGATAATGGACTGAATAGCCTCATTCTACATTAACAGTTCTGTGATATGCCCTCATCCAAAGAAATCAAGTTCAATGTAGTCAGAGCTCTTCCTCTACCACTGCCTTCTCTATGATTTTTTCCCCTGAAAAAGTACAGCTTTAGGAAGGAAATTAAGCTGGAGAGGATTCAGAAGAGATTTACCAGGACGTTGCTGGGTATGGAAGGTTTGAGTTATTAAGAAAGGCCGGGACTTTGTTCACTGGAGCGTAGGAGGTTGAGAGGCGACCTTGTACAAGTTCAAAAAATAACGAGGGGCATAGATAGAGTTAGTGGTAGTTGTCTTTTTCCTAGGCTGGGGGATTTCAAGACTAAGGGGCACATTTTTCAGGTGAGAGGAGAGAGATTTAAAGAAGACACAAGGGACAATTTGTTCTTAAAAACAGAGGGTGGTTCATGGATGGAATGAACTTCCAGAGGAAGTCGTGGATGCAGGTACACTTACAACATTTAAAAGACATTTGGATAAATACATGTATAGGAAAGGTTTGGAGGGATATGGACCAGGAACAGGCAGGACTCGTTTAGTTTGGAATTATGGTCAGCATGGACTAGTTGGATCGAAGGGTCTGTTTCTGTGCTGTATGACTATGAAAACTCCCCTTACAGCTGCTGTGTTAATTTGACTCTAGTCTCCAGCCTGCTCATGTTTCCAAATCTCTCATTGGGAAAAAAATCAAAAGATTAGAGAGAGAGTTTTCAGTCATATTAGCATTTATATTCCACTTCCCCTTCTTACTTGGAAGAGGAATTGCCCAATTCTCTTACTTCCTGTCCCAACATTAAATTTTTCTTCAACAACCAAGTCTCTTGCTGGTTTAGGACATTCTATACCAATTAGGCAAATGCAAACAGATTTCACAGTGATGCTTGGTAAAATAGCTGGTTATGTTGGTTAAAATTGCATGGCATGAATCAAAGTCCATTATAAAACAGGAGATTCTGGAAAACATCTTTCTTCTCCCAAGTCGTGCAAATCCAGTTTCTCTGCTCTTACACCACCCTTTCTGCCCAATTAGGGAGGACAATATCTATAGAACATAAATCCATGGGGGTTTGTTTAAGCACAAAACAAAGCGATCAAACTGCCAACAAAAGGATGATGTCATGGGTAAGCATAGCTGGTCTGTATTCACACATGCAGTTTGTCACATAGCCCATGTTAGTGGACATAAAACCAATTGTAAAATTAGAAAGCATGATTTAGAATAAACCAGGTGGAACAGAAAGACAAGCTTTAGTAGAAAGTGGGAGGTCAGCGTAAAGTAAATAAAATAAAAACTCAATGCAGTGAATTCAGCCAACCACTTTTCTTTAAATTTGGGTATCGGAAGTGGAGCAGCATTTATTGCCCATCCTTGGATGCCCCTTGAGAAGATGGTGATGAGCTGTCTTTTTGAACCACTGCAGTCCACTTATATTCACAGGGCACAAAACGCCTTTCGGCACATTGAATCTGCACTGACAACTACTACCAGAACTGCTTGGTTTTGGTAGACCTGGAGAAAGTGTATTTGAGAGACATGATCCCTGCTGCTTGTGCACATACACTAACAGCATCCTCACATTCAGCTGAAAGAGGTTAAAAAAGATTGGCTGTACATTTTTTTTTAATACTATGGTGATTAGTTACTTAGTACTTCTGACAGTAAGTATCCAAAGCTATATGTGTATACTTAGTGAAGGTTTGAAATACACATTAATGTAATTCTACAAGTGGAGAGTTTAATTAAGTTTAGCTGTTTATTGGATTTAATAAGGGATATGCACCAAATCAAAGTATCTAATTGACTCAAGCCATCTAAATGTTTTTCAATGTATTTTCCAAAAATAAAAAATGAATGAAGGTTTCACCAAGGCAACTCAGCAAGAACTCAGTAGGATTGGGAGCATTCAGTAGGCAGATGACCTGACAGTTTCTAATTCACAGTTCCTCTGTTAAGAAGTCAATATAATTTCCACATCAAAATATAGAACAAAAAAGACACCATTGCAAGGGATGCCATTAAAAAAATGATATAAATAAACAAAGAACTGCTGGAATTTGTTGTATTGTAAGTGATAGGTACAGGCAAGCTGAAAATTGTATGTTTTGTTTGACCACATTTTTAATCCAAAGTGTTAAACTGCAAGGAAAAGAAACATCGGACACCACATTTTCTACAAATCCATTAGCATTAAGCATAGACAGAACAAAAAAAATTTCTCTTGATAATTGAAAATGTAAACAATGACAGATTCTAAGATAACTTTGACTCTTCCAGCCTGTGGCACCAGTTCAGCAATTTGTTGAAATCATGATTTAAAAAAAGTGTTCCCTATCCCATCTGAAAGCCACATACTCCCCTTCAGCACAGACTCTGGGTTAATTTTTCAAATACATATTTTAAAAAAATCCAGGCAAGTTCTCTCCAACCAATTAGGTAATCAAAACTAACTCCAATGTTCGATTGGCCTCAATAAAATGTTCCAAACTACGTTTTGCAAGAAGTTCTCTGTTCCTGCTGTAAAGTTTCAACTCTTGCTTGGAGGAGTTGAGGATAAGTATTCATTGCACAAGAGGAAAGCTTGTTTCAGAGATATCCAGGAACAAAGATCACATTCTGATATCTAATATCAATGCAGTCTTAAATCAACTTTGTCAGAAGTCGCACGACACTAGGTTATAGTCCAACAGGTTCATTTGAAATTTATAACTTTGAGCGATGCACCTTAAATCAGTTGGCTCCGAAAGCTTATGATGTCAAACAAACCTGTTGGACCATAACCTGGTGTCATGTGACTTCAGACTTTATCCACCCCAGTCCAATATCAGCACCTCCACATCTTAATCAACTTGAAAAATCGAGACTCCCTAGTCCTCCTTAAACTACTTTGTTGAAATAAACTGTCGACTCAGTCTAATCTCTTCATCAAGGCTGCCACAAGTCCATAGGTACTTTTAATTAACTTGTTTGGACATGTTAGAAAATACTTCTGGAGCAGATGGGACTTGAACCTGGGCTTTTTATGCCAGAGGTAGGGACACTACAACTGCACCACACGTGCCCAAGCATACACTTCTAAAACAGCTGCAACACAGAGGGTTGAGGAGCTAGGGAGGGTCTGCAGTAACCAGGAGGATCAGGGAGGTGCTGGTTCCGGTAGTAGCTTGTCTGGCAATGCAGAACTACTGCAACTAACAAGCTATAAACTCTTTCCTGTTTTAAAATTCAAAAGTTTTTTTGAAAAAAGTATTTAGTAACATAGGAATTTAGCAAAGTAAACTAGTTCAACTTAGAGGATTTAATGTTTAAAAACTTTGTTATTTCTCCTAGTGATAGAGAATGTAACTGGAGTTTTAGCATAATATTTCCCTTAAAAGCAACAAATTTCAGAATGCATCCGCAACTTTAAATGAGGACTTTCTTCGATAAGATGTCCCAAGGTGCTTCACAGGAGTAACTACCAAGCTAAATGTGACACAGTGCCACATGAGGAGACATTAGGACACAGATGCTTGACAGCACCACCCACTTGCAATTTCCCCTCCAAGTGACACCCAATTCAATTTGGAAATTATAATCGCCATTCCTTTACAATCAACAGGCTAAAACCCTGGAACTCCTGTCCTAACAGCACATAAACGGTGGTGGTTCACATTCTTGAAGGGCAATTAGGGATGGGCAATGAACATTGGTGTTCAGTTGAGGCACTCTGGGGGCTCTGTATCATTAAGTATTTGGACAAAAATCACATGGGAATAAGAAAGGAGATTGGTGCTAGGTAACAATGCTCATTTAATAAACCCGTAATGGTATGATGGTCTCCCTCTGCATTGTAACACTCCTGTGATTCTGTGAGAATTAGGACAGGTTTTGGTTGAAGTGGTATGCTTGAAGGAACGTGTTAAGAAATAAATGAGAAGAAGTTCAGAAAAGGAATCCCAGAACACAAAGGTCAACATAGCGAAAGACTGATGGTCGCAGCACTAACGCTGGGGGAACTCAGGGCTGAGAAGGTCCTAAAGATTTGTAGGGCTGGAGAAAGTGACAGAGGAAGAGGTAGGTAATTTGAAAACTATTGATGAGATGTTTTTTAAAACCTAGACAAGCCAAACTAAGTTTGAGTCGAATGAGGGACACAAAAGAGTTAAATAAAAAATTTTAAGAAAGCATTATTGCGAGACATGCGGTAACATTGAGAAATACCAAGAAAAACAGGACACCATCTCTTGGTTTTGACGCCAAGCCCTGTCATCTGAACCTCATCAGAAACAGGAGTATATTGTACAGCTCAACTCTGCTCCACCATTCAATAGAAAGTCGATAAACTCGGAGACCTTATCGTAGTGGATGTTCTGACAATCAAAAAACAAAAATCTCGTCAAGTTGATCTGGGTGAGACATTGGAAAAACAGACTCAGAAGTCTTTAGTGTGCAAACCATCTTCTCCATAAATAGAAAATACTGCGGATGCTGGAAAACTCAGAAATTGCTGGATAAATTCAACAGGTTCCTGACAGCATCCGTGGAGACAGAAACAAAGCAAACGTTTCTGATAATGAGACACAACAAGGTGCAGGGCTGGATGAACACAGCAGGCCAAGCAGCATC